AGAATCACGCGAACTTTCTTCGCGTTCCCGTAACGTAAAGAAATGCTGTTCTGCTCTACGTTTCACCTAGAGAAGTCACGTGGAATGTGTACTGGGAATTTCCCCTTCCATATTTGGCAGTTTTCTGCATGCAGTTGATCGATACCCAGCAAATCCGTACGCATTTTCTCTGCGTGTGCCACAACGTAGAGAACCCCATCTCCGCGTAGAAATCTGGAGCCAAAACACGCGAAGCCGTAGACTCTATCCCAGACACCTGCTCTCTACGTGATTTCTCTACGTTTCACGTATAGCAGAACCTCCCTACTATATACGCTGCAGCGCGTTGGTCGTATCGGATCAACGTGACTGCACCGCATGCAACGTTCTGAGGGCGCCGGCCACGGTCAATCGACTGGATTTCCATGTCCACGACAGTATGTGTGCTGTGTGAGTGTGTATGTGTGTGTGTGTGTGTGTGTGTGTGTGTGTGTGTGTGTGTGTGTGTGTGTGTGTGTGTGTGTGTGTGTGTGTGCCAGCTAGTTCGGTTGGTGGGTACACTTATGCCTGATTGTGTTTGGTCTGTTGCCAACGGGCTCGGCTACTTGAATTTAGTGTAATGTTGTACCTGCCACCTTTGTTGGTTCCAGGGTTCATATATACTTTCTGTTTGAAGTATACATACCTGTTAACCATGGACTGCTTCTGGCTAGATTAACTCTTGTGTAATCAACGGTGCTAGTGAAGCTTATATCAGATCCACTCTGATTTAGCCACCCACACTAGTAGCAAGTATTACCTTCACTGGGGGCAGGGGTAACTGCAGTTGGATCCCAGGACGGATACCCTGATGCCGTCAATCCTTTTTCTGCACCTTGTCCTCACCCCCTTACTGAGCTGTGGTGAGCCCATAAGTGGGATCATTTTCAAGTCCACCCAGAGTTTTGGGGATTTCAGGGGTGTCGGCCGTTGGGCGGTTCAATAGCCAATTGAGTCATCTTTCCAAGATTCCTTTTGAGTCTCTCTCCCCTTTCCCGGGGAGACCCACATGACCAGTTTTGGCAGTGAGCAACAAGTACAAGTGTGTGTGTGTGTGTATGTGTCTGTGTCTGTGTGTGTATGTGTGTGTGTGTGTGTATGTGTGTGTGTGTGTATGTGTGTGTGTGTGTGTGTGTATGCACCCCTCCCTTGTACAGCACCTGCACAAGTCCCCAAGCAGATGGGCATCGTCGACCTCAACGTCGGCGGCACAATCTTCACCGTTGGCATGGCAACTCTTCTTTCTGATCCCCAGAGTTTGTTCCATTCCATATATAGCACTCTGCCCTCTACACTGGTGAGAGGCGGAGGAAAAACAGGCGGTGCCGGGAAACAGGTATCACCGCCATCATCCACACACCTCCCTGCGGGTAAGGGTGACGGAAATGATGTCGAGCAATGATGTCATTGTGTGAGAGTAATGATCTCATTGCTATTTAGTATGATATGAATGATGTCATTGTTATTACTGAAGTACTTAGTAAGTTTGAAGCGAATGGTGTCATGGCCACTTAGTGTGATAGGAGTGATGTCATTGTTATTTTTGTTTCTGAGTCAAGAAATTCTGACCATTTAAAATAATTCTGTCATGTATGTACGTATAACACTACCTGCATCCCCTGTGAAAGATGGTCCATGATAAAAGATGGTCCATGATGATGTTGCTTGTCTGTTGTGTGTATTCTGTGTGAATGTGTTCCTGTAGGCATGGAGTTTGATGACAGTGGACGAGTGTTCTTCGACCGGTCGCCGGAGAACTTCCCGCAGATACTGACGTACCTGCGTGACGAGACATTACCCAGGGAGGAATGTGCTCTGCACGTGTACCATGAAGCGAAATTCTATCGAGTGCAGGGTCTGATGGACTGGTGTTCAAGACAGGTAAGCCTACCACCGATGATACATTGTTATGTCAATGGCTGTGGTGATGATGGGGGGGGGGGGGGGAGTGTGTGTGTCTGTCTGTGTGTGTGTGGGGGGGGGGGGGGGGCAGGGGTAACTGCAGTTGGATCCCGGGACGGATACCCTGCACTTTGTCCTCACCCACTCACTAAAGTGTGGTGAGCCCATAAGTGGCATCATTTTCAAGTCAACCCAGAGTTTTGGGGATTTCAGGAAGTGTCGGCCGTTGGGCGGTTCAATAGCCAATTGAGTTATCTTTCCAAGATTCCTTTGAGTGTCTCTCCTCTCTCTCGGGTAGACCCACTTGACCAGTTTTGGCAGTGAGCAACAAGTGTGTGTGTGTGTTTGTGCGGGGTGGAGGGGGGGGGAGGGGGGGGGGGGGGCGAGTGTGTGCGGGGTGGGGAAGGTGGTGCAGAACTTCAGTACACAGATAGGCTGTGTTTACATGAGGCGTTTCAACTTTCTTCATGTAAACAACCACCTATTTTTTCCATCGTACCGATTTTCAACTGGCTTTGCATTCAACCCGGGTTTAGTCTTCACATGTACACACAGCCTAACTCTGCTATGAACACCTGCATCCTGTCATGCAGTGAATTTAACCCGTCCTTTTTTCTGCTACTGCTGCTGCTGCTGCTACTGCTGCTGCTGCTGCTTCCGCTTCTGTTGGTGCTGCTGGTGATGCTGCTGGCACTGGTACTGCTTCTGTTGGTGGTGCTGCTGGTGATGCTGCTGGCGCTGCTGCTGTTGATTCTGTCTCTCCTTTTGCTTTTGCTGCTGCTGCTTCTGTTGGTGGTGCTGCTTCTGTTGGTGCTGATGCTGGTGCTGCTGGTGCTGCTGCTGTTCATTCTGTCCCTGCTTTTGCTGCTGCTGTTGCTGCTGTTGTTGCTGCTGTTGCTGCTGTTGTTGCTGCTGTTGCTGTTTCCATTCCTGGCATGATCTGTTTGCAGGCTGGAGTTGTGGGTATGCTGATAAACAGACTAGTGCATGAATCCATGGAGGAAGAGTGTGAGCAATTCAAGCAAGCTATCTTGCAGGTGAGAGGCTGCTGGGAACACGGTGAAACGGTTTCCGGTATACAGTTTACAAGAATTATCTTATAAGACAGCCGGAAGCAAATACCGAAGTCTTTCTTGAACTCATTACTTCTGTGTGTGTGTTTATGGCAACCAAAGTGGGTTGGTCAAAGACCATGATTGAGATACAAGAGGTACCTGGTTCAAGTCCTGCCTGGGAGCGTTTTTTCCAGCCGTGCTGCTACCCACAGTCAACTGGGAACTTGTGGCGAGGCACAAGGGGCACGTGGATGCGGCTAATGGGGTTCCTCAGCATTTGTACGAGTGAGATTTACCCACTGACCCCACCGTTAGGCGCGGCATCTGCCGCTAGGGTTTACCGGGTGGGAGCGGCCGTCATTAGTTCCCTTTGGGAACGGACACGGTAATTATTTTTTTAGGTTTACGTTATGGCTGGTAAACATGCCCTCCCGAGCAGTAAAGACATGTTGGATGATGAAAACCCTGGTCCAGCAGTGACCTGACCAACGGGACCGGTTCCGGTAGACCTGTCACAACCATGCACTTCAATCCAGAGTTTGTCAACAACACGTTTAACGGGGGGTAAATGTGTTCTCTGCCCTCAGTGCACATGTCTGAACTACATACTTCAGGATCACAGCAGTATGTAATAGGGACCATTAACAAGCCTTGAAACGTCAACGGGAACGAATTCACCGGAACGCACGTGAAACACGGCGTGATATAGGAAAAGCTTCTCGCGTTCAGAACCCATCTACTCGAGTCGGCTGCTTTCCAGTTTCAAACAGTTTTCTGATATTTTTACTGCCAATGATTTTTGCGAACTTTTCCTTGAGAATAGTTCTCAGCCTTACTGACTTTTACGCGCGAATAAAAGTGAAAGAAACCCCATGACAGCCAAATCGCCAATGGATGGGTGCAGCAAAGGGTTGTGTTCACGAGGTCTATGCCAAAACATTCTCCGAAAGACTTTACAATGGAGCCAGTCAGTTGAGAATTTTTGAAAAAAAATTGTACGTTTCGGAGCAGTAGACAAAAAATGGATGTGGCAAATGGGATTTAGGCCTTTGGCCTCTGGTTGGTGGATCTGATCTATCCTCCCCCACCGTCTAGGAGCCGCATCTGACGCCTGATCATGGGGTGGTGGCGTCCCACGGAAGTGGAAAGGTGGTTCTTGACCAGGGAGTTGTACGACTCCTGTTCTTGACCTGCCCGGTACGCGAAATAAGCGAGCAAGCTGAAGGTTGTCTTGAACAAGCCTAATGTTTGGCACTTTGGTTACCCTCGATCCTGTTCTGTGTCATGTTAGTAACGGTTATGCCAAAATCAATGGTCCTACTGTTGTTTGGTGCATTTCGCCATCGTATTTATTCCAACAAGAATGGTTGAGACAATTTCGAACTTTGAGAAAATCGCAAAGACAAAAAAGACGCGATTTACGGTGCTATTCTCCATATCATGGTTGAAATGGCACGTACTTGACTAAAACCCACGCGTTGCGGTCATGACGAGTAGACCCCTCCGAACTCGTCAAACACGAGTATGTTTCGCGGGGTAAGGACGGGACTCTAACCCAGCTCCCCCTTCACGTTGCCGTTTCACGGCTTGCTAATGGTCCCTAATTTCCTTTTTGTCCCCTGTGTTCTTCTGTGATCATGTTGTATTCCCCTGCAGGCATCACACCACCATATAAGTGAATCACTCAAGGTCAACTTCACTGACAGTCGTGCCTCCATCGTCTGCTACGACCTCCCCGCCACCACCACCGCCATGCCAACAGCGTTGCCCATGACAACTAGTGGTGCCATGTCGTCATCGTCGACGACAACACCAACAACAACACGCAGTCTGCAAACCACATTGCTGCTGGTCGTGTCTCAGCACCAGCAGGGCAACATTTGCCCAAAGCGTCCAAACGCCGTGCCCGTACCTCCGCCAATCCTAACCCCCGTGGACGGCAATGCACCTGCACCGCCGCGATTCCAGTCAGCACGCTTCGTCGTCGGCGATCCACAGCTGTCCAGCCACCGCTTCATCAGCAATGCTGCGTCGCTGACGTCTGCCCGTCATCGCATCGACATAGCCCTGCCATTCATGCTAGGCAAGCGCCTTGACTTGCTCTACACGTTTGTAGCTCGCCACTTTTCCGCTGCCGACATGAGGCTGACACTGCGACAAGGTTCGACCAGCGGGCCACCTCTGTCTTTGCAAGTTAGTGCAGCACCGTCTCCGACCGTCATCTCTAACCAGCCTATATCCGGAGTGCAGAGTTCCGGGACCAGTGCCAGGGAAATCCCCTGCTTTGAATGTGGCCAGCCGTTCTCGCTGTATGAGATGGTGGTCACGTGGTGGACGGCGTGATCTCGTGAACTGGCGCTTGCTTGAGCGTGCGTGTGCGCGTGTGTGTGTGTTTGTGTGTGTGTGTGTGTGTGCTAAAATTAGTGGTGGTCAATTCATCAGTCTTGCAAGCTGTTGAATGGTGTAATCCCAGCACAAGTTGCTATGTCTAACATAGTTGTTCGCTATCATCGCTTCCGCGATGGGCAGGTCTGAGGTCTGAGGTGTGTGTGTGTGTGTGTGTGTATCTGTGTGTTTTGTTTCCCTGAATAACGCTACTTGTATACTATAGTTGGAGTTACTTGCTGAACAGTGCACACCTTGAACACACACACACACACACACACACACACACACACACACACACACACTTGCATCCTAGCACACTTGCCATGCCTAGGTGATGTTGGTACTTGACAACTGTGCTTACTCAGCGGCATGGTTTGATCACATTTTATTTGGTATTCGACTATTCGTCCAGTATTGGTGACGTAACGCCGTCCTTGGTTGCCCTTGCATGCACTGAGAGTTTCCTGTCAGTTGATAGTTTTCTGGAAACTTTACACTGCCCTGAATTAGTCGATTCAACCACAGTTACCCCCGTCCCTAGTGAAGGAAATATTTGCGACTAGTGTGGGCAGTTAACTCAGATTGGATCTCATACAAGTTTCACTAGCACCATTTGCTACACAAACTGAATTCCTCTAGCCAGAAGTAGCCCATTGCTTAACAGGTACACACTACTAATAGAGGCAATCAGCAAACCGTCGGGCGCGAAGATCGGGACAAACCGGGAACGAGGCTGGCGCGCGGGGAAACTCGAATCGTTTCGCGAGCACGACTGGAGCCACTCCAACGGGTGATCACGAAACGATTACGATTCCGGTTGCATCACGTGCCTGAATAGCTCGACGCACGGCTTTGCGCCGTGCATGCTTTGACGATTGGAAACCGGAGCTGTCCAATCGTACATTTACATTTATTTTCCTCTCTCCCCACTCTGCCTGTCTTCTGGCACATGCTAATACGTGGACTTACTGTTGACGTAAACGCGGACGTGCGTATAATAATGATAATAATAATAATATGCCAACAATTCTATTAGCCGACTTTCCAATATATTCCAATTTTGCAGCCGATTTTCGAACAATCAGCTGATTTTCGAACAATCAGCTGATTTTGGAGCCGAATCTGGTGTACATGTATTTTGAGCTTATTGAAAAGCTGAACAGGCGAAAACAAGCTGGGGATTCGGGGAAAGCCTACTCCTGTCGGAGCGCAAGCAACTCTATCCAAAGTGAATTTTGAGCGGATGTGGCGGGTGCAATTTTCCCCGTGCCCCTCATTGGCTGCGCATCTGACCCCTACTGAAAAACCAGGGAGTAGTAAAATACCGCCTGACCACAAAGGTGGCGGATACAACACTACACCTTCAAGTAGCCGAGCACGTTCTCAAGAGACCCAACACTACCTGGCATAAGTGTACCCAGGACTGAGTAGAACTAGGTGACGAACCACCCCCACCCCACCACCCCCCCCCCCCCCCCCCACCACCCCACCCCACCGAATACACATACTTTAAATTACAATGTACAGCTACCCCATGATGGAGACTCACCGCTACCAGAAGTGTGAGACAATGACAAGAAGTGAAAAGAAGGTATGGCCAAAAAGAACGCACAGTTTCAAGTACGTTCCGAATCTGACAGCCGGAAATCAGCTGATTCACTTCAAGTCGAGTTCTCCTCCTCATTTTAGTTCATCATGCAGTGAGTGTTCAATAGTAAAAAAAAGTGCTTTTCTCAAAATCACGTTTTAACCAGATAACATCCCATTTCGCGTACTTTGGCTCAGGTACAAGAGATCTTTTCTAATCTTCACTCTATCAAGATGTCATGTTATTAGCAGACAACAAACAACATGAGGAGTACTTAGTTCAACAAGTTATCTTGATGAAGGATTGGAACACTGAGAATCAGCTCCGCATGACAAAGACAACAAAAATGATGGCAAGCAGCCATCATGGAAAAAATCGTAGTCTTGCGTGAAGCAGGCAGCAAAATATTACGCAGAGAGATATTGCATATACCAGTACACAGTGGTAGTAATATACAGTGGTAGTAATATACAGTGGTAGTAATACACAGGTACGATGCAATCATAGTGAAATGAATGCAGTCTATAACAAGATTGATCGAAAGTCAACGAAATGTGTCATGGTGTGGCAAGTCCTGTTGACTCTCAAAACGCTCTTTTCCACTCATACACATGTGCACCATGACCAAATAAGAACTACAAATTCTCTCAACGACAGTTCACAATTATCAAACAAAATAATTTTACGAAACGAAAATAAACATATACAGGGTCCAAAGTACAAAGGTCAAAGGTCAACACAGTCACTCCTTGGACTGGCTGAAAACGAACGAACAAATGTCCAGCCGAAACACAAAATACACACACACACACACACACATACACAGATGCAGTAAGCTCTCAAGTATACACACAAACACGCATGTACACACACACACACACACACACACACACACACACACACACACACACACACGCAGAAGCATTACCACACATGCATGCACACATACGCACGTGCACTCCAAAGAACATACACAGACGGACTGTATGCCAGGAGGAAGCCATAGACCAACACGAAGCTTTCTTCATCAGGACACAATATCTGTCTTTGAAAATTCTCTCACCTCCTCATTCATCACTCTCACTATCTCCTTCAGCGTCGTACTCATCTTCTTCTTCGTCATTCTCCACCTCGTCGTGCCAGGGAAGATGCTCATACTCCACATTCAGATCATCTCTGGCCATGCCACTTAGAACCTCATGCAGCCATGGAGACAATAGAGCTCTTTCAGGCATCACCAGCTCCTTCAGAGACGAGCAGCTCTCAGCAGCGGCGGCGAACAGCTTTGCTTCGTCGTCAGCGTCTCGGAAATCATTCCTCGCCATTTCGAGCCTGGAGAGCTTTGGCAGACTGGGCAGCAGGGACGCAAGCACCGGCAGAGCTTCCGACGAAAGGCAGTCGTCGTCCAGGTACAGCTCCTCCAGTCGTCGGCATTGACTCAGCGCACCGCGAACGGTTTCCAGGAAATCTCCAGTTAGCTCATTGCGCTGGAGTGAGAGGTACTCCAAACTCTCGTGTTGCTGTTGAATGATTCGACAGACGATCAGTGCCGAGTTCTGCTTCATCCCAACCTTGTACAGCTCCAGCCATCTCAGCCTCAGTGCTCCTAACAATGGTGCTAGCTGGGTTAGACCTTCCATATCCAGTACGTAGTCTTTGAGACTGACGTACTGGAGATCTGGGCAGCTGCTGCAGATTCTAGTGATGACGTCAAGGTTGACGGCTGGATCGGTGCACTTTTGACCTCCAAGACTCACTGCCAGCAGTCCCGTACAGCGGTGTGTGTTGCTGTGGACGGTGGCCATAGCATTGCTGCTGAAGAGGTTGTAGGATGTGTAGACGAACTCCAGTGTTGACGTGTTGGATGCGATACACGCTGCGATATGGGCCGTGTGACGATCTGTGAGGTTGTTCCCCTCCAGGTTGATGAACGTAAGATTGCGTAGTAGAGCCATGCCATCAGCCATGCATGCATAACCAGTATCACCTATACCACAGTCGAGCAGGCGGATGCTGGTGATGAACTGGTGGTGGTGACGGATGACTGTGTTGATGGCCTGACAATCCGACGGTGTGAGAGGAACTAGGTCGAAATCTACTCCGTACTCCGTGAAGATAGCCTGCATGCTGTCGATGTCTTCGATGCTGGTTCGCTTGGCGTTGGCGTGCTCCGCGAAGACCCGGCAGGCGTAGAGGACTCGTTGTTTTCGTTCCGCGTCACTGACGTTCTCCAGAGTCGTAGATGGCTGGGCTGGTTCGTCCGATGGAGGAACTGGAGGGAGCTTTGACGTGGGAGTGGCGGTGAAACATCGAATGGCCGATCCCTGCGCCTGGTGGGCCATGCAATCGTGCAGCTTCTGTGTACTGGCACTGGGATCGCGATCCGTCCATATGGGTAGCAATGAACGAACGAAATCCTTGCAGGTGATTTTGGTGATGGCTGGGTCAATTTCGAGGCGGACCACTTCAGGAGCAGACAATGCCAGATCAATCCTGCCACCCAGCAATTCTTCTGCAAGATGCTCTGCTTCGTCCAGCGAGAGAAAGGAGGACACATGGTCGGCCCAATCCATGATGTGGTCGTGTGTTGCGAAGAGAAAGCACGAGATGTTGTGCCCCTCTGCTCCTGTGGAATGCTGGTCGGTATCCTGTGGCTGAGTAGACGATGTGGACTGCGGATTAAGAATAGCTTCGATCAACACATTGACCGACTCGCGGTCCAGCTCTGTAGCCAGTAAGCGCCAAAACATGTTGAGGCTGCCTGTGAATGCTCCGAGTCGCTGCACAAGCCAGGAGACGTCAGCTGCACTGGGAGAGCGGCTAGCGATGTAGCGAGCTGCTAGAGCTTCCTGAAGTGCCAGGTGGCTGAAACGCCACTGAATCTTGGACAGTGGTGATGCCTTGTCGCAGGCGATGAGCATTCCAAGTGTGCGAGCTGCTGATGACAGTGAAAATATCTTGAAGTCGGCTTCGGTGAAGACGACTTTCCGGCGGATGAGCATGTGAAAAGCGAAGCGGGAGAGATCAAGTAGATTTTCCTGGACGTCGTCGGGAACATCGTCCCAATTGGTGTATTGCTCACCATCGTTGAGCAGCTTTCCTTCTCGCTGATTCAGTAGATGAAGGATTAGCGAGTTGAAGATTGTACCCGGCGTGTTTGGCAGACTGTGCTTGTGTCGGTAGAGGCCGCACGTTGCTTGAGCAAAAAACGGTGTACGCATCATTGTGGCCAGCTGCGGGTTGGTGCGGAGCTCTGCTAGCAAGCTGGTTGCATCTTTCGGAGACAGGACATTGCGAATGTAGTGCTCCAAACCTTGCTTCTCAAAGCCTAGCAGCTCCACACGACGATGGAAGACTATGTCCCGGTTTTGTGTCAGCTTCATGGCTTCTGCTGAATGGCGTGACGTGATGATCAGGTTGATCCCCGGCAATTCTTTGCCACAGATGACGTTGTACATGAATGTGCTGCAATCAGCCAGCTTGATCTCGTCGAGGCCGTCGAGAATAATACAGACCGATTCGGGATGATTGCAAACAAAATCAATGACTTCAGCCTGCTCACCGGGTAGTGTGATGCCGTAATTCTGCAAATCCAGCAGCTCAGCGATGCTTGTGATATTGCGCACTTCTGCTAAGCGCAGCTCCAGTGCACGCAGGACAACGATGCTAGGCCAAATCTGCCCTCTTGCCCATTCAAACGGACCTTTCTTGGTGAAGAGCATGGTTTTGCCTGCTCCAGCCGATGAGAGGGCAATGGCACGGAAAGTGTTTCCACGCATGCGTTGTCGCATGGCTTTCTTGACATTGAGAATCTCGGCAAGCTTCATCTTGCGCAGCTTCCTAGCTTCAGACGCAAATGAATGAGCCAGCC